CCTGCAGTCCTGGTCTTCATCCTCATCTTCATGGAGACCCAGATCACCACGTGAGAGCCGGGGGGCCAGGCTGGGGGGCACCAGGGGACAGGGTGTGCCGAGCCCTGCTATGGCGAGCTGTGCTGAGCCGTGCCAAGATCTGCTGTGCTGAGCCATGCTGGGCTGTGCCGTGCCAAGCCAGGCTTTGCCGTGCCATGTCATGCTGTGCTGTGCCAGGCTGTGCCATGCCACGCTGAGCTGTGCTATGCTGTGCTGTGCTGAGCCATGCCAGGCTGCTCTGAGGTGTGCCATGTCATGCTGTGCTGTGCTGTGCTGAGCCATGCCAGGCTGCTCTGAGGTGTGCCATGTCATGCTGTGCTGTGCCAGGCTGAGGCATGCCACGCTGAGCTGTGCTATGCTGTGCTGTGCTGAGCCATGCCAGGCTGCTCTGAGGTGTGCCATGTCATGCTGTGCTGTGCTGTGCTGAGCCATGCCAGGCTGCTCTGAGGTGTGCCATGTCATGCTGTGCTGTGCCAGGCTGTGCCATGCCACGCTGAGCTGTGCTATGCTGTGCTGTGCTGAGCCATGCCAGGCTGCTCTGAGGTGTGCCATGTCATGCTGTGCTGTGCTGTGCTGAGCCATGCCAGGCTGCTCTGAGGTGTGCCATGTCATGCTGTGCTGTGCCAGGCTGTGCCAGCTGTGCCATGCCATGCTGAGCCATGCCAAGCTGTGCCATGCCATGCAATGCTGAGCTGTTCCAAGCTGTGCCATGCAATGCTGAGCTGTTCCAAGCTGTGCTGTGCCATGCCATGCTGAGCCATGCCAAGCTGTGCCGTGCAATGCTGAGCTGTTCCAAGCTGTGCCAAGCTGTGCCATGCCATGCTGAGCTGTGCCAAGCTGTGCCAACTGTGTCATGCAATGCTGAGCTGTGCCAAGCTGTGCCATGCAGTGCTGAGCTGTTCCAAGCTGTGCTGTGCCGTGCCATGCTGAGCCATGCCAAGCTGTGCCATGCCATGCAATGCTGAGCTGTTCCAAGCTGTGCCATGCCATGCCATGCTGAGCTGTGCCAAGCAGTGCCATGCAATGCTGAGCTGTGCCAAGCTGTGCCATGCAGTGCTG